ATGAACGAGTAAACACAGTGCATTGCATGCATTACATGGAGTAGCTTCCAGCCAGGAGGATGAGCAGAGCCCAGACAGGCTATAGCCAGGCGGACCTTGAGAACAGGGTGTTCAGTGGAAGATGCCAGGCACAGAAGGGGAAGGACTGGTGTCAATCAAGAGGCTCACGCAGGCACTGTCGGCACCTGTGTGCAGGCTTTGGGGCATCCATGTGGGGCTGGCATCCACGTGGGGCTGGTGTCTGTATTGGGGTGTTGTGTGGGGCTGGTGTGCATGTGGAACTGGTGTCGTCCATGCCTGTCTGGTGTCCCTGTGGGGCTGGTATCTGTTCCAGGTGGCTGCAGGGCTGGCGTTGTGTGGGGCTGGTGTCTGTGGGGCTGGTGTCTGTGAGGGGCTGGCCCAGGCCTATCCTTTCTCTCCTGCTTCCAGGTCACAGGGCAACTCCTCTGCAGCTGGTACCAGGGGCTGAAGGTGTTCCTAGCCGGAGGTTCCCATGGGTATTGCTGGGCGGACGGCACCTTTTGCTTGGTCTTTGGCCTGGGCTTACTGGGCAGCTGTGCAGGGCCCTGGTGGAGCGGAGCCTCGGGGCTCTGAGGCTGGCTTGTTCATCCCCGGGCCCTCCCTCCAGATGTGCAGGCCAGGGCTGTGGAGCCGGTGCAGGCAGCTCTGCCTTCCCAGGCACCCCCCACAATCCTGCCTGCTCTGGAACCTTGCTTGTTCCAAAAGCCTGTGTAGAACAGTGGTCTTCAGGTGGTCTCTGTCTGTGTGGACTCTTGCTGCCCATCTTCAGGAGTTTCATGCCCAGATAAACAGTCTCCATTCAGAGTGCCATCACATACACTTAGGATGAAGGGAATAGATACTCCAGACTCACTACTTCCTTGTGATTTCACTGCATGCTGCTGCCACCAGGTTCCAGGGTGTCTGGCTGGTGCATCAGAGGCTGTGGGTGCCTTTGGACAGGGCCTGCTTGCCTCAGTCTGGCTTTGGGGCCACACTGATGGCTTGACTGGCCAGGAATGTTCACACCACAGAAATCAGGAAGTGCCACACATTGAGCTCATGTTTGAACAAAGGTTTTATTGAACGTCTAGGCTTTCGTGAACGTGAATTAAATAATCTTGTCTGAAGCTCTTACACTGTAATAGGACAAAAAATTAAGAGAAAATTTTTCTGGTATTTAAAATGTTATCTGATTCAACGAAGTTGCTTGTGACATTGATGAATGAGTGAAGTTCCAAGGTTCTGTGTGGAAGCTGGAAGACATGGCAGCCTAATTCATACTATTTGTATGAGTGGGAGAAATGTGTATCACACTCAATAATTATGCACTTTTTCAGACTGAGCTAGTAGATGGGGGTTCGCGTGCCTCTGCTTGTCAAATCACGGTTCAGTGCAGCCGGGATTGGCTTACAGACAAGAGTTTGCTGTGAGAATCAATCAGCTCTGTGAATGTGAAAAAGAGTAGTGTGTATCTCATTGCTTTTTGTGAATTATGTGCGACACATCTTTTCCTAGTGTGATATGTGACTTAGTTAACCTAGTTCAGCTCAGGTAGGCATTCTTTCCCCTGAAGAGTCAGGGATGGTTAAACCTCTGTTGGCACCACCTACCGAGGGGTGCAGCCCCAGCCCTGGCCATTTCCCTTTCGAGTGGAGGCTCGGTGTGAACTAAAAGTCACTTGGGTTAAGAAAAGTTGTTTTCCCTGCTCCCCGAGACAGGACGCTGTTGGGATCGGAGTCGTTCTCCATGGTTTTCGCTCAGTGCTGCACGTCGCGGGAGTGAGACCCGCGGGTTCCCTTTGCTCCTCACTCTTCACTCAAGGGTGTGTCCACCTGGGGAGGAGCAGCCTTGTGGCCTCCAAGCACAGGGAGGTTCACCACTGTCCGTGATCATGAAGACAGCGTCCCTTTCTGAAGCAGATGTCAGCGTTGCGGCCATTGCCCGTTATAACAGACTGGGGTTCCCCAGGCCCAGGCCCTGCCCCCAGGTGCAGCAGATACGTGTGCAGGCATCACTGGGCGCCCAGTCCCGAATTGGTCCTGCCCGAGGGAAACCAGGGCACCTGCAGACTCTCGGCTCCAAATCTGCCGTTGTGCTGACGTCCTTCATTTCAGAGGCCGGCGACTCGTGCCTCCGCGTGCCCCTGAGACTCCCAGCTTCCTGGTCAGCTGGTCAGTGGGGGGAGAGGGCATCTTCAGCCTGTTAGTTCTCCGCGGACAGCAGCGTCTCGCCCCCGCTGTATCCACAGCCACCCGCCAGCTTTCTAATCAAGACGCATGTCTGTTCTTACTTCCTGGGGCCCCTCCCATCAAGGGATGGGAATCTCTGGGTGGGGGTCCAGACGTTGGTCCTGCGAGAAGCTGTGTGTGTGCAGCCGCGGCCCGCCAGTGCGGGTGCGAGTCCGGTGTGAGAACTCGAAGAAGGGTAGCTGCAGCCTCGGGGGCTGACGCTGGGATGCCAAGCGGGCTGTGCCGCGCAGGAACGCTGGGGCCTGAGGGTTTCCCACCCTGCTGCGCGGGAAACGCGGGGGGCCCAGGGTTTCCGGCCCTGTTGCGTGGGGAACGCGGGGCCTGAGGGTTTCCGGCCCTGCTGCGCGGGAAACGTGGGGGGCTGAGGGTCCCCGGCCCGGCTGTGGCGGGGAACGCGGGGGCTGAGGGTTTCCGACTCTTGCGCCTGAACGCTGGGGGCTGAGGGTTTCCCACTCTGTTGCGCGGGAACGCGGGGGCTAAGGGTTTCCGGCCCTGCTGCGCGGGGGAACGCGGGCCTGAGGGTTGCCGACTCTGTTGCACGGGAACTTTGGGGGCTGAGGGTTCCAGGTTCTGCTACGCGGGGAACATGGGCTGAGGGTTCTAGGATCTGCTGCCCGGTGAACGCGGGGACTATTTCCGCCTCTGCTGCGTGGGGAACGCGGTGGCTGAGAGTTTCCGACTCTTGCGCGGGAACGCTGGGGGCTGAGGGTTTCCCACTCTGTTGCGCGGGAACGCGGGGGCTAAGGGTTTCCGGCCCTGCTGCGCCGGGAACGCTGGCGGCTGAGGGTTTCCGGCCCTGCTGCGCGGGGAAAGGGTGCTGAGGGTTTCCTTGCGGCGCTGGTCTGTCTCTGCTCCTTTGTGCACTTGGAAGGGTGGCATCGTTTCAGCCTCCCTTTACTTTCCCTCTTTCCTCATTCCCTGAGTGTTCTCAGCCGCCAGTAAAATTTCGAGTTTGAACCGGTGGGACACGCCTCTGTAATGAAGAGGGTCTGCGTTATGCAGGCGCGTCTTTCCCGTGGTTTCTTACGTGTTTCTATCACGAGTGAGCACAGTCAGAACCCGCTTGCAGGGTTCCGTCCGACTCAGTGTCTCAGGGTATTCCGGAGGCGGCACTCCGCTCCGTTCACCTCGGAGTGGAAGCGTTTCCCCAGCGGCTCATTGTAGCCCCGCTGGATTCACAGGAGTCAGAACCGCGAGTGTGCGTGCTGTGGCCGGAGTGCTGGGTGACTTGGCCCGGCCTCGAAGGTCACTCTGCGTCGGAAGGTTGGGCAGCTGCGGGGAGGCCGGGCCTGGACCAGCTTCTGGCTGAGCTGGCTCCGAGGCCAGGTCTCCCTGGATGTTTGGGGATCACTTGGGTCTCGGGACGGGTGAGTCTCTGACATGATGTGGCAGCATCTCCTCCGTGGGGCGTTGCTAACAGCCTCTGCACCAAGCATGACAAGAGGGTCATTTGCGCCAGGAGCGTGTAACTGGGGCACTGTTGGGTTTTAGGTGGACGGCCCTGTGCCGTGAGACACTGTTGGGTTTTGGGGGAACGGCTCTCTCCTGAGGAGCGCTGTTGGGTTTTGGGCGGACTGTCCTTTGCCCTGGGGAAGTGTGCAGCGGGACACTGAACAGCACCCTGCACTGTGCCCACCGGATGCCAGCAGCACCCCTCATGGTGACAACAAAATGTGCCCTGGGGAAGCAGCCCCTGGTCAGTCCCGTTTCAGCTGTTGTCAGGGCCAGGCCACCAGTAAGCACCTCGGATGCCTGCTAGGACCCCTCCCACTAACTTGTCACCAGAGACTCACCCTCCCCGTGGTTGACGTTTAAATTACATTGAACATGGCTGTTATTTGGGTGGGTTTAACATCTAGTCCTGGATGAGGAGCAGACACCCTGCGCGGCAGTGCTGGGCCTTCCCTGGACGAGGGGTAGTCACCCTGGGTGCACTGCTGGGGCCTCCCTGGACGAGAGGACTCAATGGATAAATTAGTAAGCAAAACGAGATTCCTCTGCACAATGGAATATTATTCAGCCTTAAAAGAGAAGGGAATCTGGTTGGAGGTCACAGCAGAGAGCACCTGGAGGACGTTTACTGAGTGAAATGAGCTTGGCTGAAAGGATGCGTCCTGTGAATCCCACTGACATAAGGCTCTAGAGCAGTCAGATCCACAGAGACAGAATGGGGTGAGGGCTGCTGGCAGACAGCAGGACTTGGGGTAGGGGCAGGGGGAGCGAGTGTTTAACGCTGGGAGACAGCAGGGGAGGGATGGGAGTGAGTGTTTAATGGGGACTGAGTCGCCGTCTGGGAGATGAGAGAGTTCTGGAGAGGATGATGGTGAGGGCTCCCAACTTGGTGAACATGGTTAATGCCACTACATTGTACACTTAAACAGGGGACATGGAAAATTTTATGTCGGTTTTACCACAGTTAAAAAAAAAATAAATAAATAAATAAAGGGACTAAAGTGGGTAAAACAAAACAAGACATGGCAATCGTTAGTCCTAGGCTGGGGGCCTCTGCTTGCGCCACTTGCTTTTGAGGGTGGCATACGTGTCACTGCCTTTCAGCAGTACATGTGGTGTGTGCATCAACATTTTGACTTATGGCAAAAATCCAAGACTGTAGAGATCTAGTGAATGCACGCAAGCAGAGGCCAGCGCGTTGCTGTGAACTAAATCTGTTTTTTGGAAATGTCTGCAGTTAGCAGGGGACCAAACACGTCAATGTTGTTGGTGATATATGTCACTTTTATTTTTTAGGTGAAGCCAAAAACCTTCCCTCTTACCCGGGGCCAAGTAAGATGAGGGATTGCTACTGCACAGTGAACCTGGACCAGGAGGAGGTTTTCAGGACCAAAATTGTGGAAAAGTCACTCTGGTAAAGTCTTTTCTGTTGCTTTACTTGACACTGATGTGTTTTCTTCGGTGTAGCCAATGACCTGAGTGTGTACATCACCATCTCATTTTCCCACATGTAGAGAATGTCCTGAATGTGTACATCACCTTTCCATTTTCCCACGTGTAGAGAATGTCCTGAGTGTGTACGTCACCTTTCCATTTTCCCACGTGTAGAGAATGTCCTGAGTGTGTACAACACCTTCCCATTTTCCCACATGTAGAGAATGTCCTGAATGTGTACATCACCTTTCCATTTTCCCACGTGTAGAGAATGTCCTGAGTGTGTACGTCACCGTCTCATTTTCCCACGTGTAGAGAATGTCCTGAGTGTGTACGTCACCGTCTCATTTTCCCACGTGTAGAGAATGTCCTGAGTGTGTACGTCACCTTCCTGTTTTCCCACGTGTAGAGAATGTCCTGAGTGTGTACGTCACCGTCTCATTTTCCCACGTGTAGAGAATGTCCTGAGTGTGTACGTCACCGTCTCATTTTCCCACGTGTAGAGAATGTCCTGAGTGTGTACGTCACCTTCCCGTTTTCCCACGTGTAGAGAATGACCTGAGTGTGTACGTCACCTTCCCATTTTCCCACGTGTAGAGAATGTCCTGAGTGTTTACGTCACCTTCCCGTTTTCCCACGTGTAGAGAATGTCCTGAGTGTGTACGTCACCTTCCCGTTTTCCCACGTGTAGAGAATGTCCTGAGTGTGTACGTCACCTTTCCGTTTTCCCACGTGTAGAGAATGTCCTGAGTGTGTACGTCACCGTCTCATTTTCCCACGTGTAGAGAATGTCCTGAGTGTGTACGTCACCGTCTCATTTTCCCACGTGTAGAGAATGTCCTGAGTGTGTACAACACCTTCCCATTTTCCCACGTGTAGAGAATGTCCTGAGTGTGTACGTCACCTTTCCGTTTTCCCACGTGTAGAGAATGTCCTGAGTGTGTACGTCACCTTTCCGTTTTCCCACGTGTAGAGAATGTCCTGAGTGTTTACGTCACTGTTTCATTTTCCCACGTGTAGAGAATGTCCTGAGTGTGTACAACACCTTCCCATTTTCCCACGTGTAGAGAATGTCCTGAGTGTGTACGTCACCTTTCCGTTTTCCCACGTGTAGAGAATGTCCTGAGTGTGTACGTCACCTTTCCGTTTTCCCACGTGTAGAGAATGTCCTGAGTGTTTACGTCACTGTTTCATTTTCCCACGTGTAGAGAATGTCCTGAGTGTGTACAACACCTTCCCATTTTCCCACGTGTAGAGAATGTCCTGAGCGTATGTGTCACCTTACCATTTCCCGTGTGTAGAGAATGTCCTGAGTGTGTACATCACCTTCCCATTTTCCCACCTGTAGACAATGTCGTGAGCGTGCCCATCACCTTCCGATTGTCCTGCATGTAGAGAATGTCCGAAGTCTATCTCGCCTTCACATTATCCAGGTGCAGAGAATGTTCTTAGTGTAACTCACCTTCCCATTTTCCCGCATGTAGAGAATGTCCTGAGCGTGTACATTACCTTCCCATTTTCTCGTGTGTAGAAAATGTCCTGAGTGTGTACTTCACCTTCCTCTTTTCCCATGTGTAGAGAATATTCCCATTTTCTTGCGTGTAGAGAATGTCCTGAGCGTGTACATCAACTTCCCATTTTCCCATGTGTAGAGAATGTCTTGAGTGTATACAACACCTTCCTGTTTTCCCACGTGTAGAGAATATTCCCATTTTTCCACATGTAGAGAATGTCCTCAGCGTGTACCTCGCCTTCCCATTTTCCTGCGTGTAGAGAATGTCCTCAGCGTGTACCTCGCCTTCCCATTTTCCTGCGTGTAGAGAATGTCCTCAGCGTGTACCTCGCCTTCCCATTTTCCTGCGTGTAGAGAATGTCCTCAGCGTGTACCTCGCCTTCCCATTTGCCTGCGTGTAGAGAACGTCCTCAGCGTGTACCTCGCCTTCCCATTTGCCTGCGTGTAGAGAACGTCCTCAGCGTGTACCTCGCCTTCCCATTTGCCTGCGTGTAGAGAACGTCCTCAGCGTGTACCTCGCCTTCCCATTTGCCTGCGTGTAGAGAATGTCCTCAGCGTGTACCTCGCCTTCCCATTTGCCTGCGTGTAGAGAATGTCCTCAGCGTGTACCTCGCCTTCCCATTTTCCTGCGTGTAGAGAATGTCCTCAGCGTGTACCTCGCCTTCCCATTTTCCTGCGTGTAGAGAATGTCCTGAGCGTGTACCTCGCCTTCCCATTTGCCTGCGTGTAGAGAATGTCCTGAGCGTGTACCTCGCCTTCCCATTTGCCTGCGTGTAGAGAACGTCCTCAGCGTGTACCTCGCCTTCCCATTTGCCTGCGTGTAGAGAATGTCTTGAGTGTGTACCTCGCCTTCCCATTTGCCTGCGTGTAGAGAACGTCCTCAGCGTGTACCTCGCCTTCCCATTTGCCTGCGTGTAGAGAATGTCTTGAGTGTGTACCTCGCCTTGCCACTTTTCTTTCTGCTTTTAGTTTGAGGAGTAGGAGGGGGAAGTGCTCCCAGGGCTCTGGTGTTGATGCGGGGGAAGTGCTCTCCTGGGCTCTGGTGTTGAGGAGGAAATGCTCCCTGGGCTCTGGTGTTAAGGAGGAAGTGCTCCCCCAGGCTCTGGTGTTGAGGAAGTGCTCCCAGGGCTGTGGGTTGAGGAGGAGGAAGTGTTCCTGGGGCTCTGATGTTGAGGAGGCAGTGCTCCCGGGGCTCTGGTGTTGAGGAGGAGGAAGTGCTCCTGTGGCTCTGGTGTTAAGGAGGAGGAAGTGCTCCCTGAGGCTCTGGATTTCTGTCTTTGGTGGTATATGGATTTTAACTGGTATTGGCTAAATGCTTCCTCTGTCCACGAAGAGCACAAAGGTGATGGCTCTCGCCTGGACTCACAGGAGTGCTTTTTAATTAGAGATGAACTGGGAAGCTTGTATTCCACGAAAGAGTACAAATTAAGGATTTCGAGAGGGGGAAATACTGAGAAAGGTTTTTCTTCCTGTACAATTCTCTGAAATAGCCATACAAAAGATGGTTGTTAACTGTGGTAAGAGACCTAGAAGGTGTTTGTTGGTAAAATTTGAGGAAGAGAGGAGTGAGCCAAGAAAAACAGACTCTTAAAATTGACAAGTTTGCTCCTCAACTTCAGAGTGTGAAGATGTAGGTACCACCACCAGGCTGTCCAGGGCAGGGCCAGAACTCGTGTTCCTGAAAAGCTCCAGCAAGGCGGCCCCATCATACTCAGAGGACCACTGCAGTCAAAAGCCAGGACATGGCGCACAGCAGGACATGCAGGGACAGGAAGCCATGGCAATTTATGTTGTGGGCAGGAAGAGAGAAGCCAGGGAGAGTATACTGGGCAGGGCCTCAGGGCTGGGCCTTCGGGAAGCGTGGGGTGCTGGGTTTCTGTGGAGCGGCTTGGGGATCAGAGAAGACCATGCAGTGGCAACTCCACCATTCAGTTCAGAATCATGGGTTGTGTGCTTTCATCCAAACAGCTATTTTGATTTTGAGAACATGTTTAGCTAAAGAATTATATCCTTGCATCTGGCTACTTCCAAGTGGGAATGAACAACCTGTTCTGATGCCTTAGTGAATCCACTTCCCAGAAAACAGTGAGGGATCTCCTGCCCAGGAGAGACCAGCACACATCTCACTGATGGTGCTTCTAAAAGGCTTTGCCGCAGCTGCCGTTGAGGCTGAGGAGGGAGAGTCTTTGCATTATGTTAATGCACACTCTGGGTTCTTTGAAATAACTTGTCAAAAAGAACTATAGGCTGAGGAACATCAGGCATCCAGTCTGGCTTTGCAAGAGTGTCTTAGGGATTGCTGTGGCGATGACTGGGCATGGCCGTTCTTCTGAAGGAAACAGGAAGAGACGTCACCATGCCCTTCAGAAACGACTTTGGAGCTTCCCTGGATAAAAGTCCATCTTGTATTTACATGATCTGATGTTAGAGGCCTGTGGATTGAAGGCCAGGAGAATTGTGAGCAGTCTTTGTCAGACTGGGATACTCCCAGACCCACTGAATCGGAACCATGGGAGGAGAATTTGTTTGGGAACCTCTCTTTTAGTTGAGCTTGAGAAATAGGGGCCCATTGTCTTTCAGATATTTCAGAAAAATTTGGAAATAGAAATCATGGGTTCTGGCCTGGTGTGGTGGCTACATCCGTAATCCCAGCACTTAGGGAGGCTCAGGTGGGAGGACTGCTTGAGACCAGGCGATTGAGGCTGCTGTGAGCCGTGATTGCGCCACTGCACTCCAGCCTGGGAGACAGAGCAAGACTTTGTCTCGGGAAAAAAAACACACAAAAAGAACCAAAAACACACACAACAAAAAACTGATAGCCAAGAAAGAGAAACCATGTGAAACAGTTCCAAGAGTGTAAAATGATAGCACCATTTAGTGTGGATCCTGATAACCCTGTCCACTTGGATGGCTGTGCAGGCTGGCACGCCCCTGTAGTGTGAGGGCAAAATGTGAACCAAACCAACACATATGAGAAGTTGGCAGGAAAAGTACTTGAAACCAAAAGCTGGCTCTCTCTTAAATTGGCAACTGGAACCTGCACTACATCTGTGGTCAAAAGTCCTCAATCTGTGCATATGCATGAATGTAGTCTTGCATTAGTCAGTGGTCAGCATCACCTGAGAAGCAGCTATCAGGCAGGGCCACCCTGCATGCCAGGAAGTTTAGCCCTGGCCACTGCCCTCTCCTCGCTCTATGGTGGCACCTACTCTGGGGCTGGCCCCCTGAGTCTCCTGCCCCCTGAGTCTCCCAGCCCCAAGTCTCCCAGCCCCTGAATCTCTCAGCCCCGAGTCTCCCAACCCCTGAGTCTCTCAGCCCCCGAGTCTCCTGGCCATTTGACTATCCCATCCCCGAGTCTTCCAGCCCCCTGAGTCTCCTGCCCCCTGAGTTTCCCTGGCTTTAAGTCTCCCCAACCCTCCAAGTCTCCCAATCCCCAAGTCTCCCTGCCCCCTGAGGCTCCCGCCCCC